CCGCCGCTCGAGGCATCCTCACAACTGTGGATACCTGGGCTACTTGGGCTAGGTGAGTCAACGCTTTCCTTGGGCTATTCGGGTCACTCGAGACACCCTACAAAATCGTGCGCCGCCGCTCGAGACATCCGCGCAGCTTTGGCTTCGGAATACTTGGGCTAATTGGGCTGTTTGGAGCAACCGAGATAGAGACACTCCTCGCGCACGCGCACGCGCCGAACAAATCTTTTGATCGGGGCCTTCAGTGGTATAAATTTGAGCTCGCCCTCTGGCGGGGACGAATGAGGGAAAAAGGGGAATGGAGGATGAGGATGAGGATAGGAGAGGGAGGGATACGAGGAATAACGTAAGGAGGAAGAAGATGACGAGGAGGAGGAGCGGGTGTTCGGGGTTGCCGCGAGTTAAGTTGTACCCCCATTGGGCCCTCTGGGGTTTACAGTGGGGCTGTCTAGGGAGGCATCTGGTTTCCACGGCCGTCCGTCGCTTAGTGGTCTCCTTCGGAGTGTGGCCAAATACTCGGGTCCTTTTTCCAGCGCCATCTGAACCACGCGCAAGTCGTAGTTCGGGCACTTCTTATCGCAAGCCTGCGTTTTCACAACTAGTGGGCGCCCTGGGCAAGCAGAATCATGTCGAGGGCTGGCCCTAGCAGCGGCCACTGTCATCGGCGGCTCCGTCGGTTGGGTAGGCCATCCTTACGGGGACTTGGGGCCAGCTTGTGCTTGCATCGTTTCCTCCCCGGGGCCGGGACCGCTTCAACCCGTTCGCGTCAGCCGGCCAAGGCGGCTCGAGTCCTCGCTTCTGTGCGCTCAAATATAAAAATCTGTCAGGCATCGCAGCCGGTCCGCCCTCCATCCGTAACACAAAAAATCGCAATATGTATCTAATACATGTGGATGCTTGCGCTGCGCCACATAGGCCGAATCTCTTGCACAACATTGGACAGTTTTGTTTCTTCCCCGCTCCCCCTCCTCCACCTTCAACTCGTCCTCGTCCTCGTCCTCGTCCTCGTCCTCGTCCTCGTCCTCGTCCTCCTCCTCCTCCTCCTCCTCCTCCTTCTCCTCGAGGGCGAGCAGGGCGGAAAGGCCTGCCAGCAGCAGGGCGGCCTGTCAACAGCAGGGCGGCGGGGCGGGCACGGAGAGCAGCGCCCCAGCCAGGGCCTCGTCGGGTGCGCTCCCGTGGGGGAGCCGACGAAGCTGGGGCGAGTAGAGCGGCATGGAGGGAGGGTGCAGGGAGGGAAGGGCCAGGATCAGGGATGAGGGAAGAGGAGGGAGGGAGGGAGGGAGGGAGGGCGGGAGGAGGCGGAGGCGGAGGCGGAGGAGGATGAGGAGAAGGTGGAGGCGGAGGAGGAGGAGGCGGAGGTGGCGGAGGGAGGAGGAGGAGGGAGGAGGAGGAGGAGGAGGAGGAGGAGGAGGAGGAGGAGGAGGAGGAGGAGGAGGAGGAGGAGGAGGAGGAGGAGGAGGAGGAGGAGGAGGAGGAGGAGGAAGGCGGAGGCGGCGGAGGAGGAGGAGGGAGAGGAGGAGGAGGAGAGGAGGAGGAGGAGGAGGAGGAGGACGGAGGAGGAGGAGGGATGGGGCGGGCTGCTCCTACACGCTTCTCCCCGAGGTCCTGGTACCACAACACGATGCCGAACGCCTGGATCCGAGAGGTCACCCACCACTGGTGAGCCCCGCCCGCGAGGGAAGAGACACGGTCACCACGACCAGGATGCCGCTGGACCTCGTCGACGCCTGCGTTGGTCACCGTCCACGCTTGGCCCTCGCCGATTCGCGAGGATCACTTCCGCTGAAGGTGTCCTGCACCTCCGTGCGCTGTTTCTGGATGTTCTGAAGAACCGCATGCTCTCCAGGCTCGCACTCCATGGACTCCAGATCCGCCAAGAAGTTGTCGTCCCACTCGATCGTGAAGAGTTTGGACGTGATCCACGAGCTGACGAAGACCAAGACGGACGATGACTAAGATCGGCACCGACGCTTCCGTGCTGAATCCTGGTCGTGGTCACAGGTTTCTTTCCTTTTATGGCCCGCGCCCCCTCGGGCCCTTAAGGCTTCCCGACGCAGCCTCGCTCACGTCGGCGCCCTTCGTCCGCGGGGCCGCTGCGCTCCTTCCTGTCCTTCAGGTGCTCACTTCGGGTCCTTCTCCTCCTCCTCCTCCTTTATCCGCTCCTCCTCCTCCTTTGTCCGCTCATCCTCCCTCCCCTCTGCCTCCTCCTCTCCAGCCTCCTTCGTGCTCCTTACTCAGCCTTCCCCCCGTGCCTCTCCCCCCTCCCTCTCCTCCCTCGCTTCCCTCCCTCCCTCTCCCCCTCCCGCCTCTCCTCCCCCCCGTTCCCCTCGGCCCTCCCTCCGTCCATTCCTCGCTTCCCTCCTCGCCCCCAGTCCTGTTCCTCCTCCTCCTCCTCCTCCTCCCCCCTGCTGGCGTGCGTCGGGAGCCGCGCAAGTCAGGCCCGCCCGCGCGCTCGAGGCTCTGGCCCATCGCGCCGCAGAAAAGAATAAGAGGCTCCGAG